TGGCAGTCATTCAAAACTCTCTTTCATCAACCCCCATGTACACATTCAAACATCTCTCTCAAAAAATATTAGCATAAACCATCTCCACCAGTCCAAACCTTCTCTTCAATGTTATCCAGAAATCACCGATGTCAAAAAACACCGACATCAATTCCTAGTCCTCTCAAATAATGGAAATGTTAGTCATCCTGCAGGACTAGAAAGTGCTCCTTACCTGCTCTTGTCAACTTTGAATTTTTCTCCCCTTTCGTTAATTTTGAAAAGGCTCATTAGCATACTAAATTGGTTAGCATACTAAATTGGTGTAAATACATATAAACAGAAGAATTTCTTACACACAAAAAACTAGATTCAAATCGTACTTCTGTTGCTTACTAACCATATAATTCTGCGTAACTTGCACAAATGCATTCACCTAGTTTGCTGATCTGTTAAAGGGTCTACTGGGTTTGTAGAAATAAAAGGTGCTATAATGAAAATGCTCATATAGCTGACACTCAGAAAATACTCAATAAATGACAACAGTTACTGTCATTTCCCCCCCTTGGGGTGCCCAGGCACTTCAATGGTTAAGTTCTCAGTTACTAACTGAAAGGCACACAGTGTAAACCACTAGTGACGCCAACGTAGAAGGATGTGGCAAGCTGCTACCAGGTATGGAAACCCTGTGGCTCAGTTCTGTTCTGTGGGTCATGGTCATTTGGGATCAATTCAATGGCAATATGGATTTTTAAAATTATGATTTAATTGATCTGTTTCATTTATTTTAGAAATTAACCATCTATTTATCGAAAATATTGTTAAGTTTCAGATATGAACAATTTGCCCCCACTACCAGGGAAAGGAAAATTAAGCTCTAGAGGGAACCAATGATAACAACAACCACAAATCTCATCTTCTGCTCTGTTTCTATTTTAGTAGCTCCTAAATCATTGTGGCAAACTGGGAAACCTTGAAAAGCTCCTCTGTGTGTGTGGACGAATGCCAAACACTGAGGCCAAGGGTACATAGCAAAGATCTTACACACGTTTTTAAAAAATCTTACAGAATCATTTGCGAGTGTATGAAAAATAACATTTCCTATTTGAGGATTACCTACTTTCTCATCTTGAATCTAGATTTACAATGGAGTGACCTGAACCCTAGAGCTGTCAGTCAGACAAGGGAGTGGGAACAAATATTACTGCTAGAACACTACCCCCCAAAAAAGTCAATGTAATCTCATTGGCTAAGTATTAATTTAAAAATTAAAATATCTTGTCAATTATAACTTTCTACAGGGCAGGAGTTTTGTATTAGGGATGTGAACTTCACTGGGCTGCTATCACGACAGTAGCCATTTGGGACACAGCCAGGTCAGCAAATAAATCAGCCTCAGGCAGCCCATCGGGCCTGGGGTAGCGGTGGAGACCAGTGTGCACACATGCATAGAAGGGAACGTGAAAAGGGAAATAAGGAAACTCTAGTGTCTTTCGTGAATAGGTGGCTTTATAGAATAAGGAAAGAGCATAATCCTTCTTGGTCGGTAGTGATCCTAATGGGAGATAATTGCTAGAGAAATTGTTATGCATGATAATCATTTCCCAAAGACTAAATGAAGAATATTCTGCCTAGGTCCGTGTATGTCATAATACCAGGGTCCCTGGGTGGCGCAAACAATTGTGCTCTCAACTATTAGCCAAAAGGTGGGTTTGGAGCCTTGCTAATATAGTGGTCAAGTGTTGGGCTACAACCTGAATGGTCAGCAGTTCAAAACCACCAGCAGCTCTGCAAAAGAAAGACTAGACTGTCTACTGCCACAGAGAGTTAGAGACTGGGAAACCCACAGGGAGTGTTGAGTCAGCACTGACTCCATGGCAGTGAATTGAGAGACAGAGCTGAAGTCTGCTTTTCAAAGTCTTGAAAACCGTAGGGAGCAGTTCCTTTCTGTACTGGGGGCACCTTGAATAGGAATCATCTCCACGGCAACTAACAGTGATAGCATGTCCTAGCACTGTTGTTCCCAGGGTGTCACCTTGTCAAGTGTGGGTTTCAGGAGATGGCTGGTTCTTCTAATAATTTACTGATCCCTGTTATTAACTTGAAACTATACACATCTCTGTTTTAATAAACAATGAATTCGCACTACCTTTCAGAGGAAAACTTTTGCAATGATCACATTTTGTACTGCACAAGTGCAATTTTTTCTTTAAAAAGATATGTTCCGAAAACTTTTTTGCTTATAATCAGATTTTAATCTTTATTTTTACATACCAATGTCATTGAATGATATTTTGAAAATTTTAATGTGGGAAGATTTTTTTTTAATTTCAGAAAATGCCTTTGTCAGAAACATCCAAAGAGAGACCTTTTCTTCTCTTTAGAAAATAATTTCTTACGATAGTCAAAATTATTCAAGAAAACAATGGCAAACCATACTACTAGTATTCTCTATATTTTAATTAGCTTGAGCCTTGGTCAGCATGTTGTGGCTGATCACACCATCTTGAACAGACACCAATTTGGACTTTTTTCAGGGTAGAAATATTAAAGTTCTTGAGCCAAAACAAGGATTGTTTCAAACAGGGTTCCATGACTCTCTAGCTATATTCATTTAAGCAGGCTATTTAGCGTCTCTGGGTCTCAGCTAACACTCTCTGCCCAACAGGTTTTTGTTGACAGGATTAGCCAAGTTAATTTTTGTACAAATTTTGGATTCCTGCCTGACCCAGAGCCAACGCCAAGTCACTGTCTGTTAAACACAATGAAAATAGAGCAAAGGGAGGAGAGAGAAGTTGAGAGGACAGAGAGTGAGTGAAAGAGCCTGATTGTAGGCATTGGCACAAGTTCAGGGAAATTTCTGTCGTGTACACCCTCGGAGGAAAGCAGGCTAAAGGAAACAAAAGCAGCATGGGAACCACTGGGCCCTGCTATCGCCCTGTCTCCATTCCAGCTCCCTCCTCCTACACCGCCCACCAAGAGCTAAGGCCAGTGGGGTTTGAAGTCAGCTCCTGGCCTTGTATGTAAGTTGATTCTATTTTACAGTCATCTGCTTCTAAGGGGGCCCAATTGTACTGCCGATTTATAGGAATGAAAACCAGTGTGCCTTTTTCTTTAGTTTAAATGGCCCCCAAATAAAGATTTCTATAGGTTGCATGGAAGGAACTTAGGCCCAACCTACCATGGATCCTTCTTCAGTATTTCATAGCGTGAATCAGAAGGGTGACTTCTTATTAATCACAAGACATCAAACTCTAGTCCCTTGAAAGACACCTAGAGGCTTTCCTTTCTGCGTCCGAGTGTTTCTTGGCCTCAGGCATGGGTTTAGTCATGTGTGATTGGGACTGTGCAGCTGTAAATAATGAAAAAGTAGCTGCTTACTGGCCTCCATCGAGATTTAGAGAGAGGAAAGCTACAAATAGCCACAATGAGAGAGAAAGCAGATGCTTAAATAAGCTGACCCAATACGTAACTCTTTGAACACTCTCTCAAGAAAACCTTTTTTGACAAACAGAGCCTTATGAAGAAAAGCAAAAGTATGGAGTTTAATTAGAGAACGTTTTGATCAGTTTACTGAAATATCTGAATGACAAAAGCATATCCCTGATAATATATATAGATTCTTTATAAAGCTCTGTCATCTTTCAGCTCATTTTTTACACATTTGAGTTCGTGGTGAGTACACTGCCCTCTATTTTACATCATGCTGATTTGTGTTTGATAGGACATATCTAAGTTTAGGGAGGTGAACCTATTCTGTAGGGTCATTATAAGCGGGGATCCATTTTCTGGATTCTAGAAAATGAAGGCTGAGATTCCCAGTGACTTGATTTGACTCAGTATTCTTCATTCAGCTGTGGTCTTGTCCAGCTGAAGGTTGCTTCAAGAAAGATGACGTTTCTGAAAATAGGAACACCAAGTTCACTGGTGGAGAAAGAAAGGAAACCCACTGCCATAAATCAACGCATAGCAATGTAGACATAGGTTGTTTCCGAGGTGTAGATCGTTATGGGATCACATCTTTTGTCCAAGGAGCCACAGGTTGTTTTGAACTGCCGCCCTTGTGTTTAATAGTCCAATGCTTATCCCACAAATGGAAACCACTTCTTCTTAAGTCATCTAGGTAGAGAGATTTCCCGAAGCTGAAATACCTCGAAAAGGCCTGTGCTCTTTGCAAGAAAGGTGAAGAACACATTGCAGGCAGTCTCAAACTCACTGCCGTTAGGTCGATGCCAACTTGTGGTAACTCTGCGACAGGATAGAACTGGCCCTGGGAGGTTGGGAGACTGTAACTCTTTATGAGGATAGAAAGCCCTGTCTTTCCCTCACAGAGCAGCTAGTGGTTTTGAACTTCTGACCTTGCAGTTAACAGCCCAATGCATAACCACTATGCCACTTGTGGTCATTGCTGGAATAGTTTTTAAGTTTGAAATGGTGTCATCTTTTTATATGGTGATCCAAAGAAAATACCTAATTAACTTGTGCCTAAAAGTATAGATTTATTCTAAAATCAATAAAAGATTTAAAGTTCATATTTCGTATTCAGTGTTGCCATTTAGTACTGTATATGATGTCTGTAATTCTTACTCTAAGTAAGACTGGGAGAGAGAATAATGATGCTGCGAGGTACCTCTGTCTCCCATCTCCACTCCTTCTTGATTGTCTAGGCTTCCTGTAACCCACTACTTTGCCTTAACTTGACCCCCATCTCTTCCCTTCAAAATTTACATTCAATGGCCTCTATCTTTATAGTCCTACCTACCACCTAGCTCCTTTGCTGATGTTGTCAGTGTATTCACATGTCACCTCATACTGCAAGCGGAAAGGTACTTTGAAGGGCATCAAGGTCTTTGAAAAGTGATAGGTGCTTATCTCAGATAATATCTGTGGGTTAACAGAAATCTACTTTGGTGAGTGAGTGGATCCTCAAGTGTTCCATGTACTTTTACATGTTAAGCTGGTTACATTTGCTTTACTTGATCTGTGAGCTTACTATCAAATGAGACAAGCAAAAATCTTACCTCAACAGCAACTTGGCCAGTTTTCCCACGGTGAGGAACTTCATATGCCTCCATCTGTTGCTTTGTGAGTCTTACTAACTTTTCAGCTAGCTCCCTCCAGCCTTTCCCAAGCTTGACAGCAGAGGTGAGAATAACAGCCTCTTGGATGAGATGTGCTACTAAGCTTTGGCAATCCATCTTCAACAGAGCCTACAACGAATGGTTGTTTTAAAGGCATGTAAGTATTAAAAGAGACTAAAGCTCGATTCTATAAATTGAAATGTTCATACGTTTATCCTAGAAAGAGCCCCCTTTTCTCCCTCTTTTGTTCCTTTGGATTTTGTAAAGCCAAACATGTTGAATTCAGCTTTAACAAATCAAGCAGAGCAGACATGGCTAGATCACAAGTAGGGGAGAAGTGGAAACAACTTTGTGGCTAACTAATTATGGTCAAATCTACCTCACTAAGCCAAACTCATTAAACTCATGAGCTTCCCAATGTTTTAATTATAAAAAGAAGTTTTACTAGACATTTCCCCAAATAATCATTATTCCTGGACTGTTCTCACTGTCTCTGACTTGTCAATCCAGGAATGATTACTCATTCGACAAAAGGCAATATCTCATCTTACCAAATGATTGGTCATGAGATTTCTGTAAGGAGTGGACACATTGGTCCAGGGAAACATTTTGTCCCATCAAAATATGATTTAAAACATCCGAGATCCATGCCCTTTGCACAACAATGAGACATTCTTGCAGATTTGAGCAAAGCCATTCATCTCTACAATTTTTCAGATGCATCTCTTTCTCTATACTATTACTACAAGCATATTAAATTTGACCACAAGGTGCTACAAATAAAGCACTTTGTGTTATCCAATGCAAAATGCAAAATCATCGGCTTGTTTCTTCCTTACTAAGGCATCTGAGCTCTGTCACTCACCAAGCATGTTGAAAACACAACTACGAGTTTCTCTTTTCCCTTGAACAACATATTAAAATCATGCATATTTATATTGTCTTTCTCTGTTTAAAAAAATGAAATAAATATGTTTGATAGCCTCTCATCATATAACGGTTGCTACAAGCTCATCTGTTAACATTGGACAGTGGGGAAGAGAGAATGAGGAAGTAAAGAAATCGAAATGTGCCCAGCAGAGTGTTTGTTCCCATGGAGGCTTCGGAAGGGGCTTCACAAAGTTCAGGGAAAACTCCAATATCTTTTCATTTCATTTTCCTAGGAACACATAATGAGAACTTCACTGAATCTACAGTTAATATACATAGACTAGATAGATTTAGCAAGACTCTAAATCACTATTTACTATGACTAATTGCAAAATTACTATTTTCTTATACTAAGTTACGGGATGCTTTACCTATACTTACTCCATTTTCTTGTTTTAGATCAAGGAAATCTGCATGTTAAGTCACAAAATCTGAGTATAAAGTCCAACTCTTCAGGTATAAAAGTTTAAGCGAGCCACAAAATATTTCTATGTACTAATTTATAGAATGGATACGGTGATACTAACTCCCAACCTAAGCCTCTGTGACCATGATGAGTTGGCAGAATCAATTGCTAAAGCGCTTTAGTTGAGGGTTTTTTCTATTGTCAAGCGCATAAGGACAGCCAGTATCAATGTCTAGGGATGGTTACATTTAGACCCCACAGTCTCTGTCACCCGCCTTCAAGCCACCTGAAATAAATAGATGGCCTAAGAAAAATGCATACTTCCTGTGAAATGTAATATCAAGGGTAGACCACCACTGCCCATTATTTATTGTCTCTGGTCAACTAGCCAGAACTAAGCCCCTTCCACACAGAAATCCTGACACCTCCACTGAGGCATGGAGTGAGTTGTTCAGCTGTCTTAAGGATGCCCCCCTTGAATCAGCTCTTTTGCCATCGCTGTCTATTTAGCCACCCAAGGCATTCTATCAATTATTGTATCCCAACTTCCCCTAGGCATGATCAAACTGAACCATTAAAAACCATTTGGCCAATTAACTTTTTTTAGGCTACTGAGTGACATAAGGAAGCAATTTTATTTCTCAACCCTATCTATGAGTAGGAGTCTTAGAGGTGTAGTGGTGATACGTTCGACTACGGTCTGTAGAGTCAGCAGTTTGAAACCACCAGCAGCTCCTCTGAAGACAAGGCTTTCTACTCCTGTAAAGAGCTCCAGTTGCTACAACTCAGAGGGCAGTTTTACCCTGTGGACTATGAGTTGACATCGACTCAATGGGAGTGAGTTTGTTTTTTTTGGTATTTTATAGGTACATATGTGAACAGGAACTCTGTAAGATAATAAGATTACAACAAAGAATGTATAGCATCTACCCCGTTTCCAATGACACTGAGTGGCCAGAATGAAGAGAGACTATAGAATGATAGTCTTATAGTCTCAAACATTAACTCTGAAAGACACCCGTGTATTTTTGTGGATGTTTATTAGCTTGGAGTCTCATCATAAAGCTGTCCACTTAACCGGATGTTGGAACCATTGTGTTGTTTTTGTGGCTGGTTCCACTTTTAGTAACTCTATGGACAGATTGAAACTCCCCTTCTGGTTTTCTAAGCTGTTATGTTTACAGTAGCAGGTGCCCAGTCTTTGCTCCCGTGCAACCTCTGGCGAGTTCACGCCACTGCCTTTCGGTTAACAGCCAAGTGTTCAACCATGGTACCAGCAGGGCTCCTTCGATATTCTTTAGCATCACAAGAATAATTGAAGAAAAATGCACGCTTATTTCTTAATTATTTCAATAATGTAAATACCATAGACAGAATCCTTCCTCATAATTTCCTCCCTTCTGTTTAGACTTTGATTAAAACTTTCTTCTTCCATATGATCTTGTCCGGCTCTTCACTCAATCTTTATAGAGTACCAGCCTTGAAGTTTTAGTGCTATTTCCTAGACACATCAACATATGTTCTCACACAAACATGTCACACACATGCACAAATGCAGTTATACAGGTATACTTAAATTTGTGTCAGGAAGGCAAATGTTTTTGAAGACAGAACCTTTCCAAATCCCATTTCTGCTACAAACTTCACAAACTTGGACAAATTACGCAGTCAGTTTCCTCTGTGTGTAAGTTGAAGTTATTGGTACACTTACTTGGGAGAGTTGTTTCCAGGGCTAGGTGGATGGTAATCAAAGACGTCCCAGTTCAGGGGTGAATGGGTGCACATGCGCACACCGTGAGACTGTCAGCTCTCATTAGTATTGTAGCCATTTTCAGAAATATGTCCTTGATGGTTTGGGACTTTGTTTTGTTTTTAAATATATATATTGGTTTTGCACTTTAAAGTAAAAAACAATTGTTTACCTTTTTTATAACTCTCCACTAACGTCACCCTGTGGTGAAACTGTGTTGAGAAAAAATGACCCTGCAAATCTCCCTAAAACATTAGGCGGAAGAAGAGAATCGGGGTATCATACTCTGCAGCATGATGAATCGAAACAGAGGGAAATATTCATTTGTTAAACTAAAACACAAAGATTATACTTTAAAAGACCACTGAACAGTAAACCTATAATAATGGCCAAGTAAACTGTCTTTGTTTGCTGCTATATATTCATCATGTTATCGAAACTGTCTAATTTCAAGAAGTGATCTCTTAACTATGATATCCTGCACAAATAAGACATTTCCTCTTCCTCTTCTAGAGGGTCCGTCTAATTCCTAAAAATCCACAGAGTTGCAAATACAAGAAACCAAGGATATGATTTTGTCAGAAAAGCTGCATGTTTGCTTTGAACTGGCTTCCCTGTCTTTGAGATTTGTTTGTTTTTTAAGTTGTGTCCTGTATATTTTAATAAACATTGCCAAATTAATAGACATTTATTCCTTATATTAAATAAATTACTATGATATACCAATACTTACCACAATAAGCTCATATAGAAATTTCCTCGTATTTTTATCTGAATGACAATCTTCCTTAAGCTTCTCTACAATGTAAGAAACTTTGTCTGCTTCTTTCTCTGCTTGCACCCGATCAAAATCTTCCAGAGCCCGATGTGAGTAGCCCAGGATATCGGCTAAAACTTTCCCATCATAAACTTTTTCTGACACCAAGGTCAATACCATTGAGTAGACATAAGTCAGTGTTTTAAAGGGCAGAGATATCTGTTCAAGGAGATTCCTGCTTGTGAACACACTATCTGACATGGAGATGACTTGCTCCTTTGAAATCACCTTGACATTTTTGCAATGTACAAGTCCAACCTTACCTCTGAGGACTCCCACATACCACTCTTTCACTTTGGAATGTCCAAGGGCTTTTATCTTAGCTTCTCCGAGAAGAGCTATTGTGTCCCCTTTGAAATATTCATGCAAGTAGTCGATCTTGCTTTGTCTTAATACTGTCTTCAGGGTGACCCCATAACTGGTAAAGTTCAGTTTTTTATCTTGAAATGTAGGGTATTTGACAAGCAGGGCTGATGCTAATGGCGCCAACTTGACTTCTTTCTCCATCAACTGGGCTGGCAAATTGGAGAACCTCTTTAGGTTTGGGGCCGGATCAGGTGTTGTGATAGAGAACTGTGCAACTGGTCTACCATTGGGGGGCTCCACTTGAACACTGAAAGCAAACAAGTGTATTTCTCCAGGGTTAGCTAAAGAAAACAAAAACTGTTGATGGATGGCTTTGCAAGTCTGCAACTCTTTCTGTTTAATTTCCCTCTTTGCATCTTCTACCTTGACTCCAAAATCAGCGTCACATGTACACACAGAGATACTTAAATCTTGGGGCTTGTCAAGTAAAAATGAATGCTTCCCCCAGAGCTGAAACACAACCGGAGACATGTTTTTCCCGCCCCTCTTAAGATCCGAAATTGTGAGCTTGTCTGGCATGTAACTGTGGCCACAAATGGTGAAAATGGCAGTGAAACGGGGATGGATATATTTGGGTCCATAAATTCCAATCGAGGTGGTTTTGTGGATAGAATCCCACACGGTGACAGCTGGTGACTGGACAGCTTTGACTTGTGCAGCAACCACAAAATACATCACCTTGCTCAAGTCCGTTAACTTCACTTGGATGGTGTCTTTATAAAGGTAGCCGTTGGTCAGCACTTCGAAAGGCCCTTCTCTGGCCCGGCTGTGCAAACACACCACTTCGGTCATGACTTGGCTGAAAGGATCTGCCCTCACCTTGGCTGCAATATTCATCTCCAGCAAAATGGCTTCCGTTGTGTTAAGGTTGCCTAGCATGATTTCCAGCAGTGGACTCACTGTACAGGAGTGATCGTGGTTGAGAGTTTGGGGAGGGTCAAGGAAGGCTCGGAGGGAGACCTCCTGGAATTCCCCCACAGCTATATGCCCTTGGGGCACATGCACTGTAATATTCGATTCGGGCAATTGTACTGAACCTCCTTGGTGATCTAGTTGACAAAAAACAATGGTGTCTGCAGCTTGCGTTTGCGCCCATCCAGGGCTCTGACTGATTAGATTCAAATCCAGGCAGGACCGCGCCAGGTGGCGTTGACTCAACCACGCCATTCTGTAAGCCTCGCGCTCATTCTGAAGCCATTCCAAGTCGTGGAACAGGATCTGGTCAGAGGCCCGTGCACTCTCAGGGACATGCGCCGTGTCATCTAAACTGCCTAACAGTTCTGAGACACTTTTAGATCTTCCCGATTTCCTTGAGACAGACTGCCTGCATAACTGGTGAACATCTAGTTCATCACCAGAGGAATCCAGAGAATTTCCCGTTTCTATATCTCGATGGAAAAGGAAGGGGTCTTCTTTTAAGATGGAGATTTGATCACTCTTCTTATTGCTTAGCTGTGTGATGTCATCCAAAAATGGGTTGGAAGCGGCCAGTTCATTCCAGAATGGATTCGTGGATTTGGAAGCATTAGGGCCATGAAGGGTGACAGCAGCTGGCCGGTTGAGCAGCCCAGGACGGTCTTGACATTCTTGCCAGTGGAAGAAAGAGAAAGGAGGCAAAGGTGAGCTGGCGTTCTGAGATACGCCCAAGTCTCATTTGAATCATAGCGTCAAAAGCACAACTTAACTTTGCTTTTACTTTTGTAGTTCCAATCAAATAACTACTACAAAGCTAATGATACATTTGATTGCATTTGCATGAGGTGATGAAAGGAAAGTTGTTCTACCATGTTTTGAACAAATGTAATGTTATTTTATCTTAAAACGTAATTATCACTTTAAAACTAAACAAATAAATGCACACCATGTGGGCAATAATGAATTTATCATATTGTCCCAAGATTGAACTAGAACAACATGCACTTATATCATTTAAAAAATAATTCCGTTTTGTATAAGCACACAATTTTTCTGAACAAACAGAATAATTCAATTATAGAGTTTTCTAAACACAAAATAGTTGGTCCCACTACATCTAGATTATGCATTTAACTTTTCTTTTCAGATAATATGCAATATTTGAAAACTTCAGGCACATGTTAACAGCCAAACTGTTTGTTTTTAACTATAAATTAAATAAAATAGTCATTATGCACTCATTAGATTATTTTCTAATAATTCTGCATTGACAAATTTTAATAATATGAACCTGAAAAATAAATTCATTATTGCAAGCTCTCCATATCTCAATCAATTGCTACAAGCAGTAAACTCAATGTGATCTGAGTATTTTAAGAATTAGCACCCAATATACATATACATACATATTTATATCAAACCCACATTTTATATGAAAATAAGGATATATTATATATTATTTACAATTAATAAGAATTTCCATATGTCCCACAATGCATGGAATGCATGATTTTTTATTGTTGACTTTTGCTCAGTAAATATTGGTAATGAGTCTTTGGATGTTGTAAAGTTGATGCTGCTTTAGAGAAAATGAAAGTGTAAGTGACCACCTAAATAATCAGATGTTCGATAGAAGTATCCATATTTACTGTCAGATATTTCTGTTCAATACATGTAGGACTAAAGTTTTGATTCTATGTGGCATTTATTGAACATTTTAAGACACGTTTTTTTTTCCAAATAACATTTCTCTTATTTCCTCACTTCTCTTAAATCTAGTTCAACTCAACTGTCCTAAAAGTTAATTTTCTCCAAGGATCAACTCATTTCTTACATGCTCCGTGAAGATGTTATAGGCCAGGCCAACCACTGGAAACCGGGTTGATCTCAGACTTCATTTATATATCTTCTCAAGGAAGATGTCACTGATTTACTCATGAAATTTTGCCCCTTCTAGTATTTTTGGACTCTGTTGGCTATGCTGTTTCATCCTACCTGTCTCCACAGTGACACGCATTTCTACGAAAGGGTTGGGATTTTGTCATCCTTGTAATAATCTGTAGCACTTTTCATATTCAGACCTTCAATCATTACTGGTATGAATTTGCTTTTCCATTATAAAAAATTACAGACATTATAAATGCCTATACCTGTAAGATTGCAACTTTTTGAGAATTTCCGGGTATCCATATCAACCAAATTTCCCTCAGATCTACTCCGTGAAATTCCTCTTGACAAAAAATGGGCTCTTTTGCTGGCTGTCATTTTTTTCCCACCTATAAGACAAGTGTATAAATTTGTTAAGTATAAATATACAGGTGTCAGAGAAAACAAACTCAAAGTAGGGCACATATTCACATGAAGAACTGCATGTAAAAATACTGAGTTTCTCTAATTATAGTAGGATGCTAGATTAGATATTTTAAATATGTATTAGCACTCCACTGACAAAGCATTCCAATCCTAAATTTGTATCAGCAGGCACACTTAGATAAATTAATTACTGATCCCATAACAACATAACAAGTGACAATTCCTCAAGACAAGAAGGAAAAATAGCAAGTTGAAACCTAGTGCATAGGCATTCTGTGATTAGAAGAAGCCTTAGCATCACAAACTGGAAAATTTCCCCAATTTGTATATTCAAAGTAACCCCAAATCACAACAGGTATGTTTGTGTGTGTGTGTGTGTGTGTGTTATAAGCTCAGGAGTTTTAAAATGTATCACTTAGAGCAAAGAGTTAATATTCAAGACCATGCAGAAGGTGAGCATGGTGGGAGTGAACGGAGTGAGTGCACTCAACCACACAGACTGACAGAGTGGCTGCCACTGTGGCCTCACGCAGAGGCTGATTCTCGGGCGGGGGTGGGTGCTCCATGCTGTTGCATGGAGGGTCACTCTGAGTGGGAACCACATTGACAACACCGAGCAACAACTACCAGTAAGGCAGGGTAGCCTTGGAGCAGATTTAGACAAACTAAGAGGATGGAGATCTAAAACACAGACCCATTCTCACATGACAACGTGACACGTGACAGGGGTGACCATGTGGAAAACAGTGATTATGGAATGAACAGTCATAGGGCAATTGGTTTGCAATGCTTTATAAAAATTACCTTGAAACTAGTATAGTCCCCACACAAAAATCAACTTCAAGAAATTTAAGACCTAAAAGTGAAAAGCAAAACATCAAAGCTTAAAAAGAATCTACCAAATCTGTCTTATGATTTCTTGAAATAAAGAGTTTCTAAGTAAGGCACAAGCACAATGTAAACCATAAAGAAATAAAAGTGAGAAATCAATGAACATCATTTGCAAAATGTAAACCAAGCAAGCAAACAAACAAAAATCTCACTGAGATAAAGTTCATTCCAACCCATAGCGACTCTTTAGCACAGGTTAGAACTACCCCTTGGGGTTCTGGAATTGTAAATGTTTATATGCCCAGAAAGCCTCATATTTCACCTGTAAAAATGTAAATGTACAAATCATAAACTAGAAAATATATTTCTGTTACATACAAATATATATGTGTGTGTATGTATATATATATGTTGTATATATATATATGTGTATATATATATATTCCACAACACATTGAAGACTCTTATAAATCATTAAGTAAATTTCAAATAACTCAATAGGAAACAATTTCAAAAAATCTGAACAATAAATTCTCAGAAAAGGAAACACAATAGACTCCTAAACATGTAAAATTTTCATTAACAATCAGAGAAAGGCAAACAGAACAAAATGAGACACATTACCACCCAACAAATTTGCAAACATTTAAAATTCTAGCAATAGCAGTTCTTGGACAAGATGTATAGCAAAATAAAATCCTATACACTGCTAGTGAAAGTGTCAAATTGTACCAATTTTGGAATCCAGTATTATCTAGGGCCAACACAAATGAGGAAACCCTGCTTGAGGCACAAATGATTCAATAGCCACAGCAATAGACTCCCACCTACTAATGATCATGAAGATGGTACAGAACCAGGCTATGTTTCCTTGTGTTACATATAAAATTGTCAGAAGAAGGTGCCATCCCCAACCCAGGGACCAAGTGAGATGCTTACACCCTACCTCCTGCCTTTGAATTGGAATGGATTACAACTCAAAGGAACCCCATAGAGTAAAATATAGCTCAGGGTTTCCAAGGCTGTAAATCTTTATGGAAGCATCTTTCTTCCCCAACAGGAGGTTCAAACCCCCAACCCTTCACGCAGTAACCAGACCAGTACTTAACAGCTACACCACCAGGACTCTGTACTTACAATCTGGCACCCAAAAAATTCCAATTGCAGTATTTTCCTTAGTAAAATTTGACACATAAGTATCAGGAGAAAAGTACCCTGGTAGCATAGTAGGCTACATGCTGGGCTGCTAACTACAAGGTCAGCTGTTTGAAACCACCAGCTGCTCTCCAGGGAGAAAATGATGCTAGAGTCCTGTAAATCAAGTTTCAGAGACTCACAGGGCAGTTCTACTCTGTCCTACAAGGTTGGCATTAACTTGATGGCGTTGATTTTTAGGGGGGTTTTGGTTTTGTTTTTTAGTATGAGGGGATATAAACATAAATGCCCATTGATATATATATGCACATACACACATATATGTATATATATACATGGAATCAACCCAAAATATTACAGGTCATAATAATGGGTAATTTATGGTACTTAGTATAATTTAACATAACTATGTAAAGCAATGGAACACAATGCAAATGTAAAAGCCGATCAATTGCAACTAAAATCATCTACATGCACTTGTTGTAACGACCCCATTGCTGAGGCTCAAAATTCTCAATAAGTATTAGTTCTCTTAGCTTTCATGTAAACATAGTAGATCAGGTTTGAAATGAGATTTTTCAGAGTATGAAACCAAATCTCTGCAGTAAGACATAGCTTACTGAACAAAGCAAATGGTTGGGAAAAACTGACCCCAAATTATGACTTGTGCATGTTCCTCTTATCCCGCACAGCCTGT